ATTCTGCCAATAAGTTTGCAATTTCATAAAACAGATTTCTCCAATAAATAACCGAATAATTCAAATATTTTTCACATATTCTTCTAGCATCTTGAAAGTTAGGATAACCAACATAAAAATCAAAATAAGCCTAAAAGTAATCATATTGCAATTCAGAATTACTATCATTTAAAGGTAATTAAATTGAATTAAATACTTATATTGCTTCTGTGATTCTTTCTTACAATAAGAGATAATATGATAATCCTAATTTATCTGAAATAGAATGATTTGGTTTCTCCAATAAATACATTAGATAATCTTTATATTATTTTCTTAATTCTACATTAAGAATTCCTTATTCATCAGTTTTAAGTTTATGAACTCTTTTAGTAATTAATGGAAAATATTCTACCATTTTAATATTGCTAATTTCAAAAAGTGAGCATTTAAAATATTTAATGGAATTAAATTAATCTAAAATATGTTTTTAGGCAAAGAATTCTTTTAATCCTTCAAAGTCTGCATGATAAACTGCAAACTTAAGAATTTCAGTATCTTGAAATTTTTTATTTCTATAAATTTTCAATACTTTCATATAAAAGTCTCTGTCTTCAAAAAGATTCACTATTTGAGTGGATTTAAATACTTTTTCATCAAAGATGTTCTTAGTTTCTAAAAATGCTAAAATACTAGTCTTATCTCCTGTTACTAATTTATCTTCAATGACTTCTAAATTAGGATTCCCTTTAACATTAGCAACATTAAATGAATAAGGTTTAGAAACAGCAACTACTTTATCTAAAATAGTTAAACAAGCAGGATGAATACTGAATGTACCTTCTTTGGGAAAATACCAATAATACGAATATCTTTCTGTTGATAAGGGTTAACATGAAATATTGATTGATTTTGAATAAAATAATGATTTAACTGGAATAGCTCCATTAGGTATTTCTATAAAAATTTAAGCATTTATGCTAACGTTTGAGAAATTAGAAACTATTATTAATGATCCATAAATGTGATTAGTTAAATATTCCTATGATGCTAAAAATTCTTATTTTTTATTTTATTCATCAAAGAATAATTATGTAATAAGGATTTCATTTCTTAATTCAACATCAACTTCTTTAATATCTTTACTATAATAAATTAGATTAGATTCAATTAATAGGTTTGAGAGTGATTTTAGGGGATTAAATTTAAATAATTTCTCATAAGGAATCTTTAATTTAAGTTATATAATTTCTATAGTCTGAATTGAATTTGGTTAATATAAATTACATTTTATTAATTGATGCATTATTAGACTTAATAAATGATTCAACCAATAATTCGTAATCCTTTCATGAGATTGCGATTAATTAATAAAATTATCCAATTCCAAAATAAAATTATATGTATAATTAGCTTACTTTTTAGCAATCAAACTATCGAGCTAATAATTTAATTCAATTTTAATTGAATCAATAGTTTTATTAAATGTAGATTTCTATTGATCGATATAATTATATAATTTAGTGAGTTGTTCCTTTTTCTTAGATATAAATGAAATTTTTCTTTTATAGATTGTCTTTTATATTGTTTTCTATTTATGATTCAATAATATTTAAATCTAACATTTGGGTATTTGATCTAATATTTAACATGCATTCACTGCATAGAAGTCTCTCATTCATCCAAACATCATTATCTACATCTATTGAACAAATTGGAGCATTATGATTTTGAGAACATCTTAAATTCTCTTTTTCTAACACTTTTATTTGAATCATTAATTAATTATATTAATTTATTTAGAAAAAACAATGAAATGTTAAAAAAATGATTTCCTCATTTTTAATTAAAAACTAAATCTTTATGATAATCAATTTTAATAATTTGTAATATTAAATGTTGTAATGGCAGCTGTCACCAGACAATTATTGAATTGTGCAAGTAGTAAACAAACTATTATATTAATTTTTGGATATTGGGTTAGATTAATTTATGCTTTCATAATTTAAACTTGTTCTCTCTTCCAATCATAATTACAAGAGTCTCCATACTCATGGCCAGATTTCCAGTAAATCACATTTAACTTTAAGGAAAGTATAAAAATCAAAAATTAAATGCTTTAGAAGTACAAGAAAAAGTATTATCATAATTTCTATAAAATGTACATCTAGGTAAATAATTATAGCCATAGGAAGCTGATAAAGCTCTCTATATGTAAGATACATCTTATCAACACAGTAACTATTAAAATTAAGTAAATCAGAAAGACATCTTAGAGATTGCCTAGTTTAAAATAAATAAGTTTTAGTTTGTTAAATTATTTTCAATATCTATTAAATAATAAACATATAATTAATAATTTATAGCCCTAAGATGTTAATTAACAAATTCTAACTATGAATTTTGTAGATATATAATTTGTACAATTTGCTCTCCAGCATTAGATCTAATGTATTTTTATAATTTCTCCAAATAGATTTTATAATGACTCTAATTGATTCTACTACAACAACTATATGTATAAAATCAAAAAAAGGAAAGTATATTTTATATATTGGCCTTAATCATAATAAGAATAACAATTATTATTTATTATAAAAAATCAAACATTTATTTTATTATTTTGATTTTACTTTTAATTTTCTGCCTTTTATTGACATAATTTTGATACAAGCTTAATATCACCTTCATATTTTCCTATTGTTGATGGATTTTAGACTTCTTTAACAACAGTACCTTAGAATCTATAATAAAAATACCATTTTATTAATCTGAAATTAAAATAGCAAAAGTTTTCATCTGAGTTTAAAGATGCATAATCAAATCTGCCTCTTAAATCAGTGTAACCATCTTTATAAAAGTAGCTTTTTCCAGTATTTTCTTTAACGTATACCTTAACATAAACTTTAGATAATTATAATCCATTTAAATCAAAAACTCTTAACTAACCACTATTTTCCATAATGTTGACAATAAATCCATTAGATTAATAATTTAAGAAAACCTTCTTATTTACACCATTAATCTAAATGTAAAGATTATCTCTTTAAAGATGTTGTGGAATTTCTATTTCTTGCTAATATATCCTATAATATTTATATTTATTATTACTCTCCTTCTTTTTAATGATCTAAAGTCACATTAAATTCATGATTAGGTGTTGTGATTGAAAAATCTTTCTTTTTACTTAATATAAATGGATCAATAGAAAATAAAACTTCTAAATTGAACTTATAAAACATTATTGTAACTTGTTAAAGATTTGAATATGTAATTATTATCTTTGTTCCCTTAATATCACAGGATAAGGTTTCTTCTTTTATAGCTAATTACTTTTATTAATAATTAAAAGTATTATTTAATATTTCTAATTCTTTTTAATCTTCATCACCATCA